GCGCGGGTCCCGGGCGGCGGCGGCCCTCCCTGGCCGCGGCCCCTGACGCGCGCGGTCCCTCAGGCGGCGGCGGGCGCCGGGGCGGCGCGAGGATGGGCACGCAGGGCAGCCCGGTGAAGAGCTACGACTACCTGCTCAAGTTCCTGCTGGTGGGCGACAGCGACGTGGGCAAGGGCGAGATCCTGGAGAGCCTGCAGGACGGCGCGGCCGAGTCCCCGTACGCCTACAGCAATGGTGAGGCGGGCGGGCGGGCGGCGGGGAGCGGGGGTCGCGGCGCAGGCCCGGTCCCCTGCGGGCCGCTTCCTTCCTGGCCGTCTCCGGGCGAGCGGAGGCCCCGCGGCTGCGGGAGGCGCTGGGACGCAGCCTGCACTCGGCTGCAGGCCTCGGGAGAGGCCGCGGTTCCGCACGCCGCCTGCCGCGGAAGGCGTGGGGGCAGGGTCGGGCCCGGAGATCGGCGGCCGCCGTCCCGGCCCGGTGACCCGGGGGAGCGTCCCCGACGGTGTCGCGGCGGCCGGGTCCTGTGGGTCCAGGTGGTGGAGCCTGGGATGTGGCTTTGGCAGGTGTCGCTGGCCCTGCTGCGAGTGTGCGCAGATGGTGACACAGGCACACTGGGGACACAGGCACACAGGGGTCCTCGCGGGCACGCTGTTCCTCTGAGGGGTCCGCTGAGTGCTCAGGGAATCAACACCGTGTGCTGGAAGGAAATACCCTGATGATGGCGTTATTAAACATTGCTGTTTGATTTCCAGTTGCACGGGTAGAATACACAACATAGATGGCATCACTAGCGTTTGCCTGAACGTGCCTCTTAACTTAGGTATTTAAGGTAAAAACGTTGTTAATAGGATCAGCGAGACAGTGATCAGCATCCCCTGTGTGGTGGGACCTCGGCCCCAGGCCAGATGGGTGTTTCCTTCGAAGATCCGGGGACTCAGCTGATTCCAACTGAAAGGGCGAGAAGTCAGCATCAGGCTCTTCAAGGCCCTTCCGTGCTCTGGAAGGCCAAGTGGGACCTGAATAATTTTACTTCCCCTGGTCACTGTTCCCTACGCTCCTCCTTGCTTTGTTTCTTGGGCTCTTGTCAGTCTTGTCCGACTGCTCGGAACAGACAGTTTTGCTGTTTGCCGAATCGTTTGCCTGTAGGCTGCTGAGCGTATGGATACGGCGTCTCCCACCCTTTTGTTTTAGGACTTGTCAGGGGTGTTGGATTATCGGGACTGACGTGCACACCCTTCCTCCTGGAACAGCTTTGGCAATGGGCGGCAGCGCCAGGTTCTCTCTCTGTCCCCTCCTGAAGCTTGCGCTCTTAGCCTCAGCCTAGAGGAGATGTTGCAAAGGCAAGAGAGGAAGAGCTCTGGGCTCATTTTTAGGTGGGGAGGGAAAGTGAGGCTCAGATGAAAGCCAAGTTGCCTTTCCAGTGGTAGCATTGCTTCCTCAAGCCCAGCTTCAGGGAGAGTGATGGTGTGCATGTTTGTGCATGTTTATACGTGTTCAAAAGAGTGTAGGAGGGGTTGGGCTTCATCAGGGGCACAGTGTTTTCCTGGGACATTAATCTGTGCTTCTGAGGGTCATCTTAGCCCCACTGGCTCGCTCCACTACTCCAACTGTGTGCACACAGCCACGAGCTGGAGAGACAGGACCCTCCTTCCTCCTCCATGCTCTCTGTCAGGCTGTGGTGCATTGCCACACTTCCTATGACACCCTGACTGAGTAGAGCCACTATTGTGTAAAATGTGGAGGGAGAGGGCAGTGGAGATGTCTGAGACTCACTGGTCCAGCGGGAGGGCCATCTGCCAGAAATGGTGAGAAGAGCTTGCTCTTTGACTCTATGTGATCTTAGGACACACTCACCGGTCCCCGCAGGTGTCCTGTGGCATGGAGCAGAGAAGGGAGGGCATCTGGGCTGTGGAACATGCTCTCTGTATCTGGTGGCCTTGGGGTTAAGACGTGCAGAGCACATGGAGGAGGTCTTTGTGGTCAGGGTGTGAGCTCGCCCAGCCCAGGGCCAGCAGACTTCATCAGGGTGAAGTTGGTGGATCTGAGAATACTCAGGCTTCCTGAGGGAGACTTGGTTTCGGAACCTCTGGAACAGCTGGTTCTCAGGATTCAGTACTGTGAGTTTGTTGTTTGCAAGCGTCATATAGTTAGGAGCTTTTGATTTCTGATTTTCTCTTGAGGGATATACACATATTTGTTTTTCCCCTTTGTTGTCAGAAGCCTTCAGAGTGTGTACATTTCTAGGTTTCTTGTTTTCAGCCTAAACTTACATGGTGCCTCTGACCAGGTAGCAGGTGACCTGTGGCTGGGGGGGCGGTGGCTATCTGGTGCAGTGCACACTGCTCAGCACGGCCCAAAGCTCCTTCGTGATCACAGCTGGATCACTTACCTGCCTTGGAGTCTTGTCTAGCATGTTCCTCAGACAGGTACATGAGCTCACGTTGCTCTCTCCAGCTTCACAAACAAGTGAGTCATCAAAATGACCTTTTTTATTAGCACTGGCACCTGAAGCAATGATGATGCGATGTGTGGCCACACACCCAGCACCTGTGGGAGCCGCTGTGGGCTCTTCTGCATCCACTGGTGTTGAAGCACGCTGTGCTTTTGGATCTCTGTGGATCTGGAAACCTTCCTCTCAGGAAAGGTTTCCTTTTCTTCTACACATCTGGCACGGTTTTAGTGGAGTAGTCTGGGCTCGCCTTGGGACAGGACAGAAGAACGCTTTGCGCAGAGATTCTGCCTGGGTGATCGTGCTCCAGAACACAGCGGTCAGTGAGTCTGGGTTATGGAAGCTGGAAGGGAGAGGTGTCTGCTCTCTGAGCAGCTTCTGCCACAGGTCACACGCATTCAGGTCTGGCTTGGCTCCCTGGCGTGGCCCTGAGGTGGTGGGCCTGTGTTGGCCCTGAGGCAGCGTGCTGGGTGTGCACAAGCCCGTTCCTTTCGCACTGTGGGCATCGAATGTCCTTGATTAAGACAGTTACAGTCTCTGTGCCTCGTCTCCTACAAACCTCCACGTGAGTGATGGTGGTTTATATGCTCACAACCTGGAGGACTTGGGAGTGGGTTAATGAGATGAATTCAGGGGCAGAACTTCATTTCTTCCCCTCTGCTCCTTTGGGGGTCAGTGTTGGTGGAAGTTGCTGAGTGATGCCCCAGTCCTGTGAGCCCGGGGAGTGAGGGAGCAAGGAGGGAGGCGATGGTGGACAGCACTGAGGTTTGCCATGGATGTTGGGCCTGATGGTCACTGAGATGTCTGTGGGACCACATGATGCCTGCTGTGCCCCGTGGGAGTGGGGACACTGTGTGCCTGTGTCCCCAGTGTGCTTTAGAGCTCCCTGCTGGAGCCAGGGCCACAGTGCCTCATCAGCTGTGACATCAGTGACCCAGAGGCTGGGCCAGGGCGCTCCCTGCCCCCAGCTCCCTGTGCTTTCACTGAACAGTTACAAGCATTTCTTCTCATCTGGCTTGAAGTTCCCTTCTCTCCTAAGTGGCAAATTCAAAGGGAAACTATCTTCAAGCACTCCTCTGTGGTGTTTTATTTTCCTGAGTCAAGACGTGTCTCTGGACGGTACGTTCCCTGTGTGTCTTATCCATTGCTTTATCCCCCACACTAGCCTTGCACATGGACCTTGAGGTGCTAAGTTGGTACTTTTAGATGAATGAATAGCCTGTGCCCAGCTTTCCTGCACTAACTGTTACCTGGTGGTGTTTGTCACATGGTCACCACAGCAACTCCTCAAAGCCCTTTTTCTTTCTCTGTACTTGGGTACTTGGTTTTGCTCATTTGCTCATTTTCCGGGGCCATTTATTGGAGTTTGCCTTTCCTCTGTTAGGTGCCAGGTTTTCCTGCAGGTTGTTGGCTCCAGGAGGAAAAGGTGTGATCACTGTGGTAACAGCTAACAGCCACCAGCACTGCTATGTGCTGTGTGCCAGGCGTGCTGCTCGGTGTCCCTCTGTTCCCCATTTAATCCTCACTGCCACCCACGAGGGAGGCAGCTACTGTACAGATGAGGAAATGAGGCTCGGAGAGGCAGAGAGATGGCAGCTGTCAAGGGTGGCATGGTCACAGGGCTCCGGGTTGTGCTCCTCTCCAGCTCTCCTCCCCTGGAGGGAGCTGGCTGACCCTGAGCAATGAAGCAGCAGAGTTGGTGGCTCTTTTCCCTTCATCCTCCTCCTTGCCTCCACACAGGGCTTGGGGCCAGTCGCCGCATGCTCTTCCTCCCGCATTCCGTGCGTACCAAATTGTCTCTGGACCCACGCCCCAGAGGACCTTCCCCATCTCCTGCGTGATCCTGGCCAGCGTCTGAGAACCTCTGTCGTCATTGAGAGTTGGCACTTTAGTGGGACGTCAGGACTTGTTTCAAGGTGGACAGGGCCCCGGGAGTGTTGATTTTCTAGCTCTGCTCACACTGGGCCTCCCAAGAAGCTTCCTGTCTCCCTTTCCAGAGCCCACCAGGCCTGAGAGCAGCCTTCCCAAGGCCCCCGTGTCTCTAGACTCCATCTCTGGCCTCTGTCTCGACGTCACGTAGGATGCCACCCAGGGAGCGGGCTGCTTTCTGTTAACTTGTCGTGTCTGGGTCCTCCCTGTTTCCTCCTGTCCTTGCCGGTTTCACCTCCTCCATCTTTTCCCGCCCCTGGCTGTGGACAGTTCTCCCAGGCCTGGTCCTGAGGCCTCCTGCTTCTTTTCCTCATTTCATCCATGTGTTCAGTCATTTATTTCTGGGCATCTTACAATATGCAGCAGGCACTGGGCCAGGAGCTGAGGGTGCAAGGGAGAACAAAATGGAGATAGTCTTTTCTTTATACCATTTTGAGAAAAACAAGAAAGGGGGCCTTGAGGATGCAGAGTGGTCGGCTGGGGGAGGTGTCCAGAGGCTACTCCTAGATCCATCTGTGGGTGTAGCAAGGTTCTTCCTGTTTTACGTCTTTGCTGGAGACGCTCACCTGCTCTGTGTTGTAAAGACAAACCTGCTCCCACCCGAGGGGGTGATGGGCTGTAAGGGGCAGATTCTGTATCCGGTTGAAATTGTACTAATGATGCTGCTTTGTAAGTTGGACTGGCATGGCCTTTCCTGAATTTTCAGAAAACAGTGAAGTTAGTAGGTGGAGTGTTTAATTTCAAGTATTCCCCCAGTCTGTAGCGCGTGTCATAGCTCTAGCAGGTAACAGAGCAGATGCTTGCGTGGCAGGTGCACAGCAGTGCCTGCCGGTCTCTCCTGCAGGGGCGTGTGGTCACG